AAAAAAACGAAGTCCAGATGACATGATTCAACCTTTTTTGTTGTTATATACCTGGATGACTGAGAAAACAAACTTTGTATATACATACATACATATACATACATACATATACATACATACACATACATACATACACATATACATACATATATATACATACATATACATACATATACATATACATACATACATATATATATATATATATATACATATATATATATATATACATATACATATATATATATATACATATATATATATACATATACATATATACATATACATATACATATATACACATATACATATATATATATATACACATATACATATACATACATATATATATATATACATATACATACATATATATATATATACATACATATATATACATACATATATATATATACATACATATATATATATACATATACATACATATATATATATATATATACATATACATACATATATATATATATACATATACATATATATACATGTACATATACATATATATATACATGTACATATACATATACATATATACATGTACATATACATACATATATACATGTACATATACATACATATATATATATATATATATATATATACATATACATATATACACACATATATATATGTATATATATATATAGTGATTTATCATGATGGGTTCAGTGTCTTGCCCAGGGACACTTCGGCATGTGACTGTTGGTGGAATCGAACTCCCAACTCTCGCATAAGAGGACGACTGCTCTAACCACTCAGCCACAGCCACCCCAGTAGACATTGCTCACAATCTTCAGGTTTCTCTCTGTTTACCATTTTTAACTGACCTGTGTATCTCACCCTGAACCCAGCCTGGCTTCTGGTGGAGAGAAAGAGAGAGAGAAAAAATCTAAATAAAACAATTTAATAAAGAGAAACCCTGACATCCCTCTCCCCAGCGATACGTTCCTTGTTCGTCTTGGGGAATCCTGAGGCGTTCCAAGGCCAGAGAAGATAAACAATCTCTCCAGAGAGTTTAGGGTCTTCCCCGTGGCCTCCAACCAGGAAACCTTCTAAAGAGAGGCATCCAGGAAGCATCCTAATCAGATTCTGGACCACCTCAACTGACTCCTTTCGATGCAGAGGAATAAAAGGCCTATCTCTAAGGCTGAGCCTGGCCACCCTGTGAAGGAAACTCATTTTGTCCACATGTATGTGGGATCTTGTTCTTGGGGTTATGATCCAAACCTCATGACCATATGTGAGAGTTGGAACATAGACAGAGAAGTAAATTGAGAACTTTATCTTTTGACTCAGCTCTTTCTTCACCACGACTGATAGAAGCAATGTCCTCATTACTGAGGGTGAGGCACCAATTCCAATTATACTATTTAGATATTTATATATTCTAATTATAGTAAAGGGATTAAATTGATAATGCTTTAAACAAATAAAGCGAACCAGCACCATAGTTTTACCCAATCAGAGCAGAGCAGGGTGCGTTGTGCTTTCCGATGTCCCAGGTGTGAGCAGTGTTAACTTGGAGGGACTGCAGGTGAAAGCATCCCATCATTCAACATTTCCTGTCCAGAGTGAGCAGTGGATCAGCTGTGAGACCCTCACAGGTGGTCAGGATCACAGAGACCCCTGCTGCAGTCAGAGCAGAGACGCATACTGAAAATGAACCACGGGTGCTCACAATCACTGTTGATTCCGCTCTGGCTGACAAACCTCGTGCCCCCGACCTCCTGGGAAATTTGTATTCAAAAGTTAACATTGGATAAAATGCTGATGTGTTCAGAGCACCACCATTATTGTACAGACATGTGCAATTTTGTGCATGACCAAACTCCTGGTTCTTAAGAGTGAGCACCGCCACCGAAGCGTACGCAGCCTCTTTGAGTACATTATCTAAATAATAGAAAATATAAACCAAAATTTGCAAAATAGCTAAAATTAGCTAACTATAGTAATCTGACTTAGCACTCACATAAAAACAGTTACACAGACAGATTACTTCTCTGTTTCTTTTAAATGATCATTCCCTAAAGAGAAAGGTTTTGTGCTGTTCAAAGCATCTTGCATTTTTATTTTGTGTTTTTCCAGGTGCACACAGCCTGCATGGACTTGTACCCTCGCAAGTGTCCTCTCGGTCAGTGTAAAGTTTCCATCATTCCCCCCACAGCGCTCAACAGCATTGATTCAGATGGTAGGTCACACACACACACACACACACACACACTAATATGGCTGAGTCCAATTTGAACGTCATTGTCGGTCTATTCCTGTGCGCAATCAGTACATTTCAAAACAAATTCACAAGACTTCACCCTGTTTGATCGACTGACCTCTGACATTTTGCTCTTTCACAATGAGGGATGTTGGAAAGTAGGGCAGCATTCAGTGAGACACAGTTCTGGGAACTGTCTTCATCATCAAATCCATACTTACATACTGCCATATCTCAAAGATGACACAATCCTCAGTGACCCATATGCAGGCAGGCGAGTGAGGCAGGAGTTTAAAATAAAAATAATTTATTTTAAATCACAAAAACAAAACGGCTGACGGGGCAGCAAAACTACAGGCAGGATCCAGGCAGACAAGAACAGGACAGATTCAAACTCAGACAGATACCTGGCACAAGGAACAGAGGAGGACCATGTTGTCTGTGCAGAACAGAAAAATGACCGGACGAGGAGTGTAGGAGAGAAAGGCTTTTTATAAGACAGAGGGAAAGTGAGTTATGAGAGCACCTGGGCAGGTGGCTGATGAGGGACAGGTGTGAATGATAAAGACTGAGGACTGGAGAGGCAGACTGAGGAGTGAGTGGAAAATGACAACAGAATCAGATATATAGGAACAGAAATCACACAAAGAGCAGAACAACAAAAGTATAAAGAGCAGAGCGGGGAAGACAAATAAATATAAAGAAAACAGACAGGGACAGAGCCTGTCATAACCCCCCTCTCAAGGGACGGCTCTTGACGTCCCCTAGAACACAACACAGAAAACACAGAATGGGTGGGAGGACGGGGGAAACAAGGATGGAGGGCACACAAAGAAAATCTAAACAAAAGCCAACAGGGTAGACCTGGGAGCAAAAAGAATCAAAACACAAGTATTTCTATGAACGGAAAACACAAGTATTTCTATGAACGGCCCTGGGCATCGTTCCTAGCAAGCCGGAGTTCGGGCGGACAGCCCGGGGACCATCCAGAGCGTGACCGGAGTTCGGGCGGACGACCCGGGGACCGTCCAGAGTGTGACCGGAGTTCGGGCGGACGGCCCGGGGACCGTCCAGAGCGTGACCGGAGTTTGGGCAGACGGCCCGGGGACCGTCCAGAGCGTGACCAGAGTTCGGGCAGACGGCCCAGGGACCGTCCAGAGCAGAACCAGAGTTCGGGCAGACGGCCCGGGGACCGTCCAGAGCGGAACCAGAGTTCGGGCAGACGGCCCGGGGACCGTCCAGAGCAGGACCAGAGTTCGGGCAGATGGCCCGGGGACCGTCCAGAGCGGGACCAGAGTTCAGGGAGGGATGGAATGGGGCCAGAGATGGTGGTGCTGGCTGCAGCTGGGCCAGAGAGGGTGGTGCTGGCTGCAGCTGGGCCAGAGATGGTGTTAGTGGTGGTGCTGGCTGCTGCAGGGGCAGACAGGATGTTGGCAGCTGCTGGGTCAGTACGGGGTTCAGGTGCTGCTGGACCAGACCTGGATTCTGCAGCTATGGGACCAGACCTGGGTTCAGCAGCCGCAGGGACGAAGACAGGTTCTGACAGGATGTCGGCAGTTGCTGGGCCAGGACGGGGTTCAGATGCTGCGGGGCCAGACCTGGGTTCAGCAGCCGGGAGGTCGGGCCTGGGTTCAGCAGCCGGGAGGCCCGACGAGGGCTCTGCCGCCGCAGGGTCAGAGCCGGTATCTGCAGCTACAGGGTCAGAGCCGGGGTCTGCAGCCAACGAGTCCGTGCTGGGGTCTGCAGCCGATGGAGATGGGGCCAGAGCTGCAGTCGGAGAGTCAAGAACTGGAACCAGGACTGCAGCAGGTGATGGAGGAGTGTCCGCCTGGACCTCCTCGCGACTGGGCAAACCAAAATGCATCGCCACCAGAGAAGCCTTCCACCACTCCAGCTCCTCTGGCGAAGAAAGACAGGACTGCTCCTCGGGCGAGTCCGACGTGAGGTCTGCGGACGGCAAGTCCGGCATGAGGTCTGCAGGCGGCAAGACCAGAATAGCCGGAGCGGGCGGTGAGACCAGAGGAGTCGGACCAGGCAGAGAGGAGACTTGAGTCCCACGTTGACCTCTCCTTCTGCGACGGCGAGGAGGAGGGCAGGCAGAAGGGTTACTGTCCTCAATACCCACTGAGCTCCTTTCAGCTCCCTCTGAGCAACATGGAGGTGAAGTAGTGGGTGGGACCACAGTCATGGGCACAGAGAGGTGAATGGGATGACCGGGGATAGGAGAAGGAGGCAGCTGGAACAGTGAGCGTAGATGTTGTCTCTCTGTCCAGGCTTCATCAAACAGTTTGTACACCCCTGGTACATTGGCCAGTCCAGGAAGATAAAGAAACAGCCCCACCAGGTCCTGGATGGCATTCATCCTCACCTCCAGATCGCAGATAGTGGACATCGCATCTGCGTAAGTCCTAATGACTTTGCGGAGCCTTGAGTGATCCTCTGGACGGAGCCCCACAAAGAAACAGCTTCCTGCTGGGTCTGGGTCTGGTCCGATCATTCTGACACAATCCTCAGTGTTTAGATCCATATGCAGGCAGGCGAGCGAGGCAGGAATTTAAAATTAAAATAATTTATTTTAAATCACAAAAACAAAACGGCTGACAGGGCAGCAAAACTACAGGCAGGATCCAGGCAGACACGAACAGGACAGATTCAAACTCAGACAGATACCTGGCACAAGGAACAGAGGAGGACCATGTTGTCTGTACAGAACAGAACAATAACCGGATGAGGAGTGGAGGAGAGAAAGGCTTTTTATAAGACAGAGGGAGAGTGAGTAATGAGAGCATCTGGGCAGGTGGCTGATGAGGGACAGGTGTGAATGATAAAGACTGAGGACTGGAGAGGCAGACTGAGGAGTGAGTGGAAAATGACAACAGAATCAGATATATAGGAACAGAAATCACACAAAGAGCAGAACAACAAAAGTATAAAGAGCAGAGCGGGGAACACAAATAAATATAAAGAAAACAGACAGGGACAGAGCCTGTCGAAAGGCATGTTGCTTGCCTTCTTTCATGCCAGCGATGTAGACTATCATCTTAATTTAAAAAGGGACAGTGGTGTAGCCCTTTTGGGCCAACCTTTTAAATGACGATGTAAACAATATGTCATGTGACGTCAGATTTTGTGAGATGTGTTACTGCTTGGAATATGTGTTGTGGGTGATCATGTGCAACTGTTAAACAGGGTTGACAGTCATTGCTAAAGCAATGTGTAGAACTTGATGTATATGTTAGATATTCAGCTACAGCCACTCACAATGTTAGCACAATACCTGTGAAACGGTGTGAATTATAGTCGTTTTTTTGTGCTTTCTAAGGCCACTTTGTTGTATCAAGCATCTTGGATTGGGTTGGCTCAAAACGTTATTTTGTTGTACATATCCTGTACTGTACATCCACTGATTATTTTTTGAGAGTTTTATGTAAATCCACCAAGTGGCTTATAGGAAAATCTGGTAAGAGGCAGATGGGGTTGATGTCAACAGGTAATGCCATATCTTTAAGTAAAAATACTATGGATTTGTACTGCTCTGAGTATATGTTGGGAATAATGTTCAGCTAATACCCCACCAATTTTAAGTTTAATATCTGCTATTTGGTAGCCAGAGCAGAAGAAAGAAGGATAAAAACTGGAGGATGAGGAAGGGGCTGGGAAAGGATGGAGATTAATAATCTAATTTGTGCTTCATCTTTTGGCCTTCTCATCCTGTCTGTCTGGTGCTCAGAATCTCCTCCTACTGCATGCAGGATGAGCAGAGGTGGGGCTTGGTTATAATTGGATGGCTAGTGCACATATTTGAGCACATGCAAGAGCCTTGTGACTTCCTTCCCCCTCTCTTCTTTTCCCCACTCATTCTTTCCTGTATTAGTGACAGTATGACAAAGAGGAAAGCAAAATGGAGAAAAATCCAATGGTGTGAATTGGTACTGAAGGACACAGTAACACATGAAGGGTGGGGGCTGTTTTATACACAAAGCTGTAGGCACATAAAGTCTAGCTGCTTTACTTCCTACAGATTAACATACAGTATAGAGCACAGCCCATGTTTTCATCATGAGCTATTCTTGCATACAGACATAGATGAATTAGTTGACACTAGTGTTGTGTTCAAGACCCCAAACCCGAGACCAAGTCAAGACCAAGACCAGAGTGTACCGAGACAAGACCAAGACTTTTGGGGTCTGAGACCAAGTCGAGACCAAGACCTCAAATAAAATAAATAAAAAATAAAATTTTATTACAATTTTTTTTTTATAAAAGTTACATACTGCAACTTTAAGTTTGCTTTTGAATGAAAATATCAGCTTTTATATTTTTTTCAAAGCTACATAACAAAGAAATCAGACATTCAGTGGCCTAATTGCATGTGATTCAACAATAAAATTACACAGCTGTTAAATAGGAAACAATTTCATCACATGCCAAGCCTTAAAAAACTGCAGTGGCAAAACACTTCATAAGTCCATGCTCAATAATCCAGGTACACAAGCCAACATTTTTCAGTCAGGTCATCTGGACAGTTTCTTTTTTTTTGTGCTGAAATGTTTCGCCTTTGATGTGGAAGGCTTCATCAGTCAAGGAAACATGGATTATTGAGCATGAACTTTGTTGTTTTCAACCAGTTTGACAAGAATGTCAGCAAGGAAGAGGGCCGGCAATGGAGGAGGGGGCGTACCAAAGAGACCATCTTATCGCAAGCAGAACTGGTTTGTTCCACTTTGGAGTAAGCTGTTGGGGGAAGAATCAGTTTTGTTGTGTGTTTCCTTGACTGATGAAGCCTTCCGGATCGAAGGCGAAATGTTTCAGCACAAAAATATAAACTGTCCAGATGACCTGACTGAAAAATGTTGGACTCTTCATAAGTCTGAAGTCAAGACCAAGGATAACCATATAGTTGCATTACTTACAATTATATTCTTTGGGATTTAAATAGGCAAATTTTATAACTGATGATTTGGCAGACATCTTCTCACGCACCCAGACAATCACTTCTCATTTTCTTGGAGTGACCAGTGTTGCCAGATAAAGGCGAGGTTTTCCAGCCCAAAAATCTGTTAAAAACCGCCATATCAGACAAAAATCCGCCCAATCAATATATTGTTACAGTATATTTACTGTTTGAACATGAACGCACATCAGTACAAGCCAAGCCAATTTAACAATATGTGGCAAAATGCAACAATCCAACAAAAATCTTCCCAGAGTTCCCAGCAAAATCAGAATGAAAACCGCCCAGTTGACAGTAAACTATCCCATCTGGCCACACTGGGAGTGACGTGTGCAAGTGAAAGAGGGTGGGCGTGACAGCGGTAACAAAACCATGTATTTAGCAATGAATCACGTTATCACATGGATTTGAACCAGTATGTTTTGCATCCAATAAAAACAAAGATGTTGACAAAGAAACTGAACAATATTCTGACATTTTAGTGAGATCTCCACAGTTGTGGTCTTGACTGGTCTTGAAATAAAATCCCGAGTCCTCAGTATCCAAGACCGAGACAAGACCAAGACCAGTTGAGTCGCGGTTGAGTCCGCAACAAGATCGAGACCATCAAAAAGATGGTCACTGATGATCCCCTCTCAGAACTGCTTTTAGTCCAGCCCCATAATGTGGATCAAATAAAACTAGGAAAGAACTTTGGAAGACGTAATTCATACTGTCTCGTCAAAATACAGCCTAAAATTATAATATGGGTCTGTCATGATATGCATCTTCTTTGATGATTTCTTTGTTTTTAAGTTTATTTTGTGCTATATTTATGTTTGGTTTGTTCTGTACCTGTTCTCTCCTTTGTGCCTATAGTTTTTTTCCATCAGTCAGCACTTTTCCACAGTCGGCCTGCCTTGCCCAGTTACACCTGTTCCCTGTTTCTTTAGTCACAGCTGCAGTCTTTCTTCTCATTAGCCCCTGTCCTTAAAGTTCCTCAGCTTCATTGCTGTCATTTGTGCCATATCTGGCTCTTCTGCACTAACCTTGTGATTATTCCTCAGTTTATGTTGGTTGTTGCTGCCATGTGAGCCTTTTGTTTTCTGTTTTATGAAACTTTTTTGATTCAAGCTCCCCATGTTAGTCTACATTCCTGGCTCTGACACCTCAACAAACCATGACAGGTTCATAAGCATTTCACAAACCAATCATATATGCATACAATGAATAGCAAAAACTGTTGAGAGATGTGGAGCAACACCCTCAATAATCTGATGTTCAAAATGTGTACATGGAGTACAGGAGAAGAGACGGAAACACACCATACACATCAGATAGTTTGGAAATAATATGCATTTCTGTATTCATTCCCTTAGACTGTTTCAAAGCACTAAAGCAGATTATTCTTTTTAATTGCAGGCTTCTGGAAGGCCACCTGTCCCCCATCGTGTGCCAGTCCTCTCCTGGTCTTTGTAAACTCAAAAAGTGGTGACAATCAGGGGGTAAAATTCCTTCGACGCTTCAAGCAGCTTCTCAACCCGGCTCAAGTCTTCGACTTGGTCAACGGTGGGCCACACCTTGGGTAGGAGAACCAATTTGAATGTCCTCACAAACTCCTGTAGAGATGAGCAGAGAATCCTTAAAGTCACTCATTCAGATTACTTTTTTTTACTCAAGGTAGATTTTTGATCCTAAGATTAAAGTCATAATAGCTGTCAAAAGACAAGATTTTACAGTTAACCATTTGAATTCTTATGTTTTGACACAATTTCTAGATCAATAAATGATTGTTTGGGGGTTGATATAACAAACTCATCAGGGTTTTCATAAAAATGTGCAAGAAAACAGCAAGTATTGCTCGCCTTTCTTTACATCTAATTTAGTCAGTCAGTTACAGTCAGTTACAGGAATTCTTGTACAATCTTGATCTTAGCGCCAGTTTTTGCTTTAATGCTCTTCACTGCTTGTCTTGTCGAGGGAGTGCCTATGAATGCATGCACTATATTATTTTATTGTATCAATAACCTTTATAACATTTTGTAGATTTTACTCATTGAGATCTGAATGGTATATTATTATAATGTCTTATTTCACTGATGTCAGTAGCAGCTGGTCAGAAGTGCTTATCGGCCGTCCCCTTGTAAGAATCCTTGAGAAGTGTTTACCTCTAGCAGCTCCCTCTGTGTGTCTGTGTCTGCTGTGGGTCAGTTCTGATAACACAAAAGGGAGAGAAAGACCCCCTGAAAAGTTTCTACGGTCAGGAAGGCAGAACCAAATTGGATCTGGGGCAGGGAAAGCATTGGAAGTTCTGGACTTGTAATGTTTTTGCTTCCTGTATTCTGACTGTTTCTCCACAAAGTTTTTCATCCATCCATTCATTATCTTTTACCTGATTCTTCCTTTCCGGGTCATGGGGGTCACTGGTGCCCATATCCAGCAGTCACTGTGTGAGAGGTGAGGGACACCCTGGACTAGGGGTTGAACGAGTATATAATTTTTAAACTCGACATTAACATAATAAAACCAGAGTAGAACTTGAGTATTTGAATACGTCATAGATCTCAAGATACAAAAATAAATAAATAAATAAAAACGCAAAAAAAGGTAATTATTTACAAAAAAAAAAGACCAACAAAACATTGGGAGCATATATTATGCTCCTACCATTTATCATACTGCAAATAAGTCACAGGAAAAACTAAACTATTAGTTATTATTATTAAACTGCAAACGTGAAGAAACACAGCACGTCAAAAACGAAACTTAAACCGAAACTGGTTCTGGTGGATTGGACCCGGTGTTTCACCATACTCTGTGACCTGCAACAGTGCAACACCGCCTCTACGGTCATACGTGGTCACATAATATGGCGTCACTACGGATACCCGACATTACATTTTTAACATCGATAGATGTCCTAGCAATTGATGTGTAGATTACTCGAGTACTCTGTTAATGCCCTACCCTGGACAGGTCTCCAAGTCATCACAGGAACACATAGAGACAAACAACCATTCACTCTCTCACTCACACCTAGGGGCAATTTAGAGTTACCAATCAGTCTAACATGCATGTTTTTGGACTGTGGGAGGACACCAGAGTACCCAGAGAAAATCCACGCATGCGTGGAGAGAACATGCAAACTCCACCCAGAAATACCCTGGCATTCTATCCAGCAACCTTCTCGCTGAGAGGTGGCAGCTCTACCAACTGCACCACCGTGCCGCCCTTCACAAAGTTTTGTGTTATTAAATTTGGTGAAATCTACACCCGATCATTTGTGAATCAGTTTTTTTCTACGACATTCTCCCCCATAATTGCTTTGTTTTTGTCGATTCTCTTTCTTACAGATTTTAGTCTATATATTTTCAGAAGAAGAGAGAGGAACTTTACCTTGTCACTTTTGAGCTGGTGTCTATCATTTCATTGTTATCCCTCTTAAGCCCTATTCGAACGGGATTAGTTTTACCTAGGGACAACATGCTATTTGTAATAATTATCGAGATTGTCTGTGTTGTTAATCCCATGCAAATCGGCCATATCAGTATCCCCCGCAAGTTACCTACTATATTTTGCTGAACTCTGAGGTCCTGTGATAATACTAATCCTATGCAAACAGGCATCTCTGTGATTTGGACAGAAATGCGCAGGATCCGATACATAATGAGGCATTTTTTTGTTTTTGTTTAAACAAAATCATTTGGGAAAAATATAGAACAAGGCTATTTTAAATGAACGCGCTGCTCACTTCAGCTTTTTTAAATTAATTAATTTTCTATGTATTTTTGTTTTTCGCTTCGGCTTTTATGAGCTGCTACTTCCTTCACCACAAGTGACGGGAGGTGCGGAGACGCGGACGTGCAACTGACCCATCCATCCATTTTATTTACCTGCGTCTTCCTTTTCGGTTAGCAGGAGTCACTGGTGTCCAGCCATTACTGTGCGAGATGTGGGGGACACACTGGATAGGTCTCCAGTCCATTTCAACTGGCAGGTCGGCGGCCACGCGGCCGCTCACACGCACAGCTGGTGACAGATGTCCATCTGAGTTTAATGTGGCTATTTTTTTTTACCTCTTTAAACCGGCCGGTCGGACCTGCCTCCTCCTCAACAAGTAGATTAACACAATTTTATATTGTGCATTCTTTAGTTTTCTTTAGTGCTGATTCGTAAAACCACATCAAAGCATGAGACCGTCCCGGACAGCACATTAAGCACATTATATGGACCGGCCCGGTCGTGAAAACGTAGCTCGTTAACATCATATCCGGAAGATGTCTGTAAATTTCTGCTAAATCTCAGGCTTTGGTTATCCCGTGCGAATATGCCCCATAAAAAGCAGACGTTGGGGAGTTTATTTATTACATGTGGTTCCTATGTAAAACTAATCCTGTGCAAATAGGGCTTTACTCTGTTTAAAGCCTGAGGTTATTTTATTAACTAAACAGCCACTGTGCGCTGAGACTGTCCGCAGTGTACTAGCCAATGTTTGAATGTAAACAAAGAACTCATCATTTTTGGCAACAAAACATGACGTCTACAGATTTTGCTCATTTATTACAATTCATGATTTGTGATTTATACAAATCATAAATGATGCACTTATACAAAAATTCTAATCCAAAACATTGAAAAATTGCATATTCTGACAACTATAACCTCAACTTTAACTGTGTGTCTCTGTCAGCCTGCGCCTGTTTCAGAAGTTTGACAACTTCCGGATCCTGGTGTGTGGCGGTGACGGCAGTGTGGGATGGGTCCTCTCTGAGATTGACAAACTTAACTTACACAAGCAGGTAAATAAATATCTTTATAAACGACTGAGTTCTTCTTTTTAGAGATGTGAATTTGTTTTTATCTGTTTGGATGTCTGAACTGTTACCAGTAATAATACCATGAAACAACCCTCTCACATTCACTGTAGTTCAGAATAGAATTATACAATCATAATATATCCTCAACAATGGCACAAGCAGTTTATCTTCATCAGTTATGTTTTCTTGACATTCTAAAAAAGTTAAATCTGGTCCTTTGGACATTAAAAAAAAAAAAATTGTAGAAACATTTCATCTTTCATTTCATTTCTACATTTTTTTTTTGTTCTGTTCTGTTCTTTTTTTTTTTTTTTTTTTTTTTTTTTTGAATGTCCAGAGGACCAGATTTAACTTTTTTAGATTTTTCTACCTGGATTATTGAGCATGCATCAGGAAATTTCTTGACATTGTTGGTTTGTATACACGTTGATACTTTTATGTTCATTCCCAGTAACAGCAGCTCCCACTTCTGAATGTGTATGTACATACACCAAATTGTAGATCAGTACATGTACAACTTAGAGAAGTACTTTTTTCATCCAACCTTTATTTATACAGGCTAGCCACATTGAGCCACGAGGACTCATTTACGTTACTTACTTCTGTACATTGAAGGGAACCTTTCATACGTCCAGATCAAGGGTGACCAAAATATTGATTGCAATCTATTGGTCAATCGCAAAGGTATTACGGGTAGATAATATGGCATTAAAAAAAGTAGACGCCAGCCTCTCATCCAGCTATGAAATTAGTCTCTTGATTGGCAGACAGGGCAGCCAGTCTGAGGCCCTGTTTACATCATGTGAAATATCTGGCCGGTCATTTACAGACACTGGCCTCATTCTCTCTAAAACTGAAGGTCACTGATCCAGGTCTCAGAGAGGAGATTTTAGGGGGACGGGGGACCCCCCCACACCCCCTCCACGGAGGTGTGAGATACTCTGCAAGTGAAGTGGCACATGCACATTATAGGCGGCTGCAGTCCAAAGTTTTTTCTGCTCTGACAACAATTATAATAAATAACAACAGTTGTAATAAATAACAACAGTTGTAATAAATAACAACAGTTATAATAAATAACAACAGTTATAATAATTAACAAGTTATAATAAATAACAGTTATAATAAAGAAAACAGTTATAATAAATAACTATTTATAACAAATAACAACAGTTATAATAAATAACAACAGTTATAATAAATAACACGTTATAATAAATAACAACAGTTATAATAAACAACAACAGTTATAATAAATAACAAGTTATAACAAATAACAACAGTTATAATAAATAACAACTGTTATAATAAATAACAAGTTATAATAAATAACAACAGTTATAATAAA